CACCCCTTGAAAAATACACTCAATGTGAAATAGAGTAATCCTATAACTATTAAGGAAATAGACTTCATAATTTAAAACTCATCCAGTATGAAAAACAGTAATCCTATAACTATTAAGGAAGTTGACTTCACAATTTAAAACTCTCAAGAAAGAAGCTGGGAGTGGTAGGACATGCCTGTAATCCCAACTACTCAGAAGGCAGGAAGAGGAGGATCATGAGTTTGAAGCCAGCCCAGGCAAAGTTAGTAAGACCCTGTCTCGAAAACAACATACAAAATAGAGGGCAAGGGAAATGACTTAAGTGGTAGAATGCTTGCCAAGTATGCACAAGGCCCTTTGTTCAATTCCCAGTACCTAAATAAATAAATAAATAAATAATATCTCAAGAAAGAAATGTTCAGCTAGGTACCGGTGGCTCATGCCTGTAATCCCAGCTAATTAGGAGGCTGAGATCAGGAGGGCTGTGGTTCCCAGGCAAATAGTTCATGAGATCCGTTTTCCAAAGCAAAATGGAGGTGTGGTTCAAGTGGTAGAGCTTCTGCTTTGCAAGCATGAAGCCCTGAGTTCAAACCCAGTTCTACCAAAAGAAAAAAAAAAGAAATGCCTGCCATTCAGTTGTTCCTTGCTTTAAAAAAAAAAGAAAAAGAAAAAAAAAATGTCCAGGCTCAGATAGTTGCATTAGAGAATTTTACCAAAGATTTAAAGAACAATTAATATGAGTACTGTACAGCTTTTTCTTGGGACTAGAAGAGGAGGGAGTACTTCTTGTATTAGCCAGCATTCTATCACTGTAACAAAATACCTGGGATAATCAACTTAGGAAAAGAAAAGGTTAGATGAGCATGGTGGCACTCAGCTGTAATCACAGCACACGAAAATCTGATGCAGGAACATCACAAGCTTGAGGCCAGCCTGGGTTACATAGTGAGACCTTGTCTAAAAAAAAAGAAAGAAGAAAGGAAGGGATGGAAGGAGAGAGGGAGGGAAGGAAGGAAGAAAAAGAAAGGAGAAAAAAGGGACATTTTTTCTTATGTTTTTTGATACTCCATCATAAATCAGTTTGCCCTGTTGCTTTGGGCCTGTGGTGAGGCAGTACGTCATGGCAGGAGCACATGGCAGAGCAAAACCACTTGCCTCATGGTCAGGAAGCAAAAGAAAGAGGAGTGGACTGGAGTCTCACAGTTCCCTTCAGGGGTACAGTGGCATGCATCCAATGACCTAAAGGCCTACTGCTAAGTCTCACCTTTTTTTTTTTGTGATACTGGGGTTTGAACTCAGGGTCTACACCTTGAGCCACTCCACCAGCCACTTTTTGTGATGGGTCTTTTCAATATAGGGTCTTGTGAACTATTTGCCTAGGTTGGTTTTGAACCGTGATCCTCCTGATCTCTGCCTCCTGAGTAGCTAGGATTATAGGCTTGAGCCACCAGTGCCCAACCTTCCATGATTTTTTAATGTAGGCTTTTATAGCTATAAACTTCCCTCTTAGAACCTCTTTTATTGTGCCCCATAGGCTCTGGTATGTAGTGTTTTCATTTCCATTTGCTTCTAGGAATTTTTATTTCTTCCCTGATTTCTTTGATGACCTACTGATCATTCAAAAGCATATTTTTCAGTCTCTGTGTTTGTATATTTTCTGTAGTTTCTCTTGCTGCTTTTTTTTTTGTTTGTTTTGTTTTTGCAGTACTGGGGCTTGAACTCAGGGCCTTCACCTTGAGCCACTCCACCAGTCCTTTTTTGTGAAGGGTTTTTTTTTTTTTTTTTTTTTTTTGAGATAGGGTCTTTATTGAAAAATATTAAATTAGCCTTAAATAAATGAAGGAAAAATATACCATATAAGTATATACATATATATATATATATATATCATGTTAACTGATTAGAATGCTTGACATAATGATGTAAATTCTCCCCCCAAATAGTTTATAGAGTAACACAATTTCAGTACAAATCTCTCCAAAGTTATTTTTTCTAGAATTTGGCAAAGTAGTTCCTAAACTACATGGATGTATAAGCATCTAATATAGTCAAGGCACTTTGGAAGAGCAAGGTAGGGGGACTCCTCCTATAAGATTTGATTTATTACAGGCTCTAGTGATTTTCACAGTGTAGACTTGGCATAGACCAGTGCCTGAGAATAGATAGTGAAGAAACAGACCCACGTACTCACAGACACTTCATATCTGACAGAGATGGCACTGCAGGTTGCTGGGGGAAGGACCACTACTCATTGAGAGTGCGGCGATAATGGCTTATCTATATGGGGAAAATGAAATAGAACTTCTGCCTCATACCACATACATATTCAAATTATAAAATGTGGGGAAGACATTGTAGGGGAAATTCTTTATGGCCTTGGGATATATAGGCTTTCTTTCTTTTCTTTTTTTTTTTTGGTGGTATTAGGGTTTCCATTCAGGGCCTTGTGCTTGCTATGCAGACACTTTGTACTCAGTCCTAGGCTTTCTAAAAGAAGTTAAAATTTCTCACTGACTCTAAAGGAAATGATTGATAAATTTGACTACATTAAAACTAAGACTTTCTATTCATCCAAAAACAACATAGGGAGGGCAGGTGAGAAGACAAACCACAAACCTGCAGAAGATATTTGCAACACACATAATTAGCAAGAGATGAGTCTGCAGAATATGAAGAAATTCCTAGTAATTTTTAAGTGGACAAAGACTACTGGATCTTTAAGAGAGCAAAGTCCAGATGGGTTATAGCATGAATAGATGCTCCACCTCATTAGCAGGCAATGAAAGGCACATTAAAACCACAATGAGATATAATTTCCTACCTGCCAGATTGGCATAAAATAAAAATTTGATAATAGGAACTGGTGGTAAGGGCATAGAAAAAGAATTTTTACCTACTGTTGGTGCAAGTAGACTGATGTAATCACTTTGGGAATGTTTCATATCTAGTAAAATTGGACATGAGCATGCCTCATAATCAAGCAATTTGACTCCTGTCTCTATATATGGACAAAAATGTTAGTGCAGTATTGTTTGTAGAGGGAAAAAACTGGAACAACCCAATGTCTCTGAATAACACAATAAATTGTGGGATAGTCATTCACTCAATGGGTTACACTGAGTGATGGGGCATAGTTCCATCATCAATATGAATGACTCTCAAAAGCAATGTTGAGAGAGCAAAGTGAGTTACAGAAGAATATATACAGTATATTTTCATTGATCCAAAGACAAATCTCATCAAATATAACACTATATTGTTCAGGGATAATTGTATAGGTAGCAAAATCAAAAGATAAAAGAAAAGGAACGATTAAGACAAAACTCACAGTAACTCCAGGGATAGAGAAAAGGGGCATGTGGTTGAGAAGGGAAACAGGTGACTTCTGGGGTAAAACAGTGTTTTATTCCATGAACACATGTATTAACTGGATATAAGTGGTCATGTTGTGGGAAATTATGAGCTGAGATACGAGTCTCTGAGGCAGGTTAGCAGGAAGCAACATTTATTGTGTCGGCACAGAACCAGCGGACGTGTGTCTAAAGGCTGAGCCCCGAGAACAAAGGGGTCTCACCTTATATACCCTTGCAAGCAGGTTACAGAAGCAAAAAGCAAAGCTCAACCCACATATGGATGCATGTGACTTAATTGGCTATTTCATTTCCCCAGTGCTATATGACCTTCATGTTTCAATTCTTTAGGTTTTATTTCTCTACTTTGCCATCCCCTCCCCCGTCTCATTAGCACACCAGCCGGTCTGTGTCTTTTCTGGCCTCCCCTTTCTTGCTACAGTCATAATAGCCACAAGTGTAGGTGAAATGGTCCAAGAAGGGGTAAAAGAAACATTATATACTGGGTGTGGTAGTATGTACCTGTAGTTTCAGCTACTTGGGAGGCTGAGACAAGGAGTGTCACTGAGCCCAAGAGGTGGGGGCCAGTCTGGGCAATACAGTGAGGTCCTGTATTGCCAAAGAAAAGGCCAAAGAAGAAAAAGAAAAAGCCATAGGAGGAGAGTAAAGAGGAAGCCAAGAGGTGGGTGGGATGCAGGCTGAGGCCCATCATTTGGATTTGGTCACTTTGCCTGATAACCTTGTGTATGTTAACATAACTTGAATATCAAACAGGAGAACAAATAACTCACGTTAACTATACAATGAAATTCGATAGCCAGCAAAAACAAATATACTTCTATCTTCAAGATTCTTACAAATATGCGGACAGAAAAAAAAAAAAGAAAGAAGCAAGCAGCAGAAGGGTAAGTACATTTAGTATCACTTATAGAGTTTTAACACAGAAAGAATTCTACAAATTGTTTAATGACATACGTATCTAGAAAAAGAATAAGTGCATGCAAATTTACCTAAATTTAGGGATAGAGGGAAGGTTTGGTATGCGATAGGTGCCTGACGTATTGCAACTTTACTTGTAATCTATGTGATCGGTATCATTCAGTTCATTTTTCAGCTGAGGAAACTGAGGCTCAAGTGAGCTGGCTGGGATTTCAAAGTTCTCTTTTTTGGGGGGAGAGGAGGGGTGCTGGGGTTTGAACTCAGGGACTCATGCTTACAAAACAGGAGCTCTTCCGCTTGAGCCACTCCTCCAGTCCATTTTGCTATAGTTATTTTGGAGATGGGGTCTGGAAAACTGTTTGCTAGGGCTGGCCTCATCGATCCTTCAGATCTCAGCTCCCCAAGTAGCTAGGATTACAGGTATGCACCACCGGTGCCGGCTTCTGCTTGGTCTTGACGTGGGATTTACTGGCTGAACAAACGGGAGAAAGAACGGCCTTGGCTCGCTCTTAGGCCTCTCCTGGCCCTCCCTTTGGGACAGGTGCCAGAATCAAAGGGCCAAGCGGTATAAAATTTGCGCTCTTGGCATTAGGGATCGAAGTCCGGCTCCGCCCCGTCCGCTGGCGCGAGGCTCCGCCCCGGATGGCTCGGCCCCAGAAGGACTCATGAATATGCAAGTAACAGGAAGCTATTTAAAGACGCCGGCGCCGCGCGCAGCTCCCTGCCCCACGCTGCCCGCCCGCTTCTGGTACTTAGAGGCCCGGTCCCGTTCGTTCGCGTTCATCACTGCGTGCGGAAGCGCCGACAGTATGTCTGACAAACTGCCTTACAAAGTCGGTGAGTTCCTGGACAAGCAGCCTGCCACTGCTACTCTGCGCCCGTTAGGGGGTCGTCCCTAGAGGCGGCCGCTGGGCCGCCCACAATCCCTGGCATCACAGGTTGGGCGCGCTCGTGCCCGCGCGGGGCTACCTGGGGGCTGGAGTCCTCGCGGCCCCGCTAGCTAGTCGTGGGAGGAGGCAGCGGACTACAAGTTCCGGCGTGCCCCGCTACTCGCGCCCGTGCTGCCGCGCAGGCTGAGAGCAGCTCTCGGGCAGCCTGTTCCTCCCCCCTACCGCGGTCTGCAACCGCGGGCCCCGCTACGGTAACCCGCCCAAGGGGCTCGGGCCCTGCCTTTTGGCCAGCTGGGTGGTCCCTGGCAAGAGCCTACGACTCCCTGGGCCTTCTGGCGTTTAGGAGAGGCCTGGAAAGCAAGCCCTAGGGTGGTGATGGTCCGCGTGCACCTGGTGCTTTTTGGTCAGCCACCTGGCCACTGGGACAGTTGTGTGGAGAACCTCGGAGACATTCGGGAGTGGTTGGAAAAGTGCATTCTGTTGTCCCACAGATGGAAGGCTCATGGGTAGTAAATGTTCATTGAACGTTTATTGTGGGATGAACACAGCTTTGTAGATAAATTCTAGATTAACCCATTTTATTCTCATAGCCCTCCAGGGGAGGATTATTCTCCTTTTGCTATGAGAATCCTGAGTCGCAGAGGTCACTCGCTCATAACCTGACAGCTGGGAGGTGGTGGAATAGGATTTGAACCCAGGGCATGTAGACCTCCGAATTCACCTGTTTCACCACTTTATGCAAGTAAACACACTTGGAACAGTCCCAGTGAAATCTCAGCAAAAAACACTTCAGAGCCGGGCAACGGTGGCTCCACGCCTGTAATGCTAGCCATCCAGGAGGTAGCGATCAGGAGGATCGCGGTTCGAAGCTAGCCAGGGCAAATAGTTCTGTGAGACCCTATCTGGAAAAACCCTTCACAAAAATAGGGCTGGTGGAGTGTCTCAAGGTGGAGGCCCTCAGTTCAAGCCCCAGTACCGCAAACAACAACAACAACAAAAAACTTCAGAATAGGTGTGGTTTTGGATGACACCTGTCATCCCAGCACTCTGGAGACTGAGGCAGGAGGATTGTGAGTTTGAGGCCAGCTTGGGCCACATATCCAGACCCTATCTCAAAACAGCAAGACAAAAGTAAAAGCAGTTCAAGCTGGCTAGTAGCTTTTAAACTAAATTTAAGACACCATTAAACTGAAGAAAGGACCAATATTATGGAGCAGTGGCTATGTGGTGATTTGTGTGTTTACAGAATAATCTTTGTAAAAGTGGATGTTATTATGCAGGGGAAGAAACTGAGGAAGTGACTTGCAAAGATTCTGTTAAAATAATAGCTCATGAAATAGCCACCAGAGTAGATTTGTTGCCCTTATTGTGTAGATGATGAGGCTATAGCCCATAAAGGTTAAGTCAAGGTCACATGAGTAGTAGAAGTGCTAGAATGGGACTTGTAATACTGTGGAGAGACTGGTGGGTCAGGGTTGGGGTGTTGGGGTTGTGTGGATGGAGATAAGGCTGGGTTTGGAGTGGGAAGCTTGGTTATTTGGAGATGGAGGCAGGAGGCCTCCATCAAAGAGGATATGCTGTGTGCCACATCTTGCCCATAGGCAGGTGTCTTCTGTAATCCTTGGGGTACAGAGCAAGGTTAGGGATTGTTATCCTCACTCTACAGATCAAGAGAGGTTCTTGCTATTCCTATTGACAGGTGTTCTGTTACTTCTGTGTCCTCAGCTCCTCAGGGCACCAGAAGTCCCAGAGCTTGGAGCACCAGTCCTTCCTGCATCCTTGGCATTGAGGGTTCCCTGTAAATTCTGGGACTGCCACAATGCCATGAGGGCATTGAGAGAATTGTTTTAGCTGGAGGGACCAGTGGTAGTAGAGGGGTGGGAGCTTAACAGGACATCACAGAACGCATTGTGCTCTACAGGAGGGCCTTGAGAAGGCCCTCTGCTCTAACCTTGCCTTGTGGCCTGTCCTGCCTCTTCCACTCACTGGCTAGGGAACCTGGGGCAAACCCCTGTCTGGTCTCTTTCCTCGTTTCAAATGCCGGGGGTTAGACTAGGTTCAGATTTATTTCTTTTTATGCCACTCTTGTCCCGTGGCAGTCTCTTTGATAATCTTTTCTCATGTAGGTTTCACAACATATGCTGACGCCTTCTGTATGCCAAGCCTTGCTGGGCAGTAGAGAGAGAATGGTGACCCAAGAACAAGGTTGGGATAGACATGCATACAGATAATGTAGTATTGTCTCCATTTTGAGGAGATTTGCCACTTCCTCTATGGCCACCCCTCCCCTCCCCCACCTTTTTTTTAGGTGCTAGGGTTTGAACTCAGCCTTACACTTGCTAGACTGGCCCTCTACCACTTGAGCCACTCAGCCAGCCCTGTTTTGTGTTGGGTTTTTTTGGAGATAGAGTCTCTTGAGCTGTTTGCCCGGGCTGGCTTTGAACCATGAACTTCCTGATCTCGGACTTTCAAATAGCTAGAATTATAAGCGTGAGCCACCCGTGCCAGGCTCTTGGTTGTTTTTTTGAAACAGAGTCTGGCTGTGTGGCCTAGGCTGACCTCAAATTTGAGATCCTCCTGCCTTAGAATCTCCAGTACTGGGATTACAGGTTTGTACCACCATGGCCAGCCAGTGGGGTCTTTTCAAAAGAGAAGTCTGGTCTTTGGTAATGATACATGCTTTAAAACTCTATAAAAGTCCCATCTCACTGGGAGTAAAATCCTGATTCATCTTACTCCCTGTGTTTGTTCCCACTCTGGACCACTCTCTCTGTTCCTCCACCAGGAATGTATCAGGAGTCCTTCCTGTTTCCAGGTGTTTTTGATCACTCAGTGGGAGTCAGGTCCTGTATCAAGGACTTGGGAGGAGGCTTCAGGCTAAAAACTGCTTGTATTAACGCTGTGGGCTGGTAATGAGTTATCCGGTCTGCAGACAGTCAGGAGGTATGGTGGAGCAGCCAGTGAGGGGTAGGAGAAGGTGGAGACAGGGAGAGGGGCAGGCAGTCCTGGGAGTAGGGCCCTGAAAGCCAGGTGAGGAGTTAGGATTTTATCCATAGCTTAGGGGAAATCATTAGGGGTTTTAGTTTGTTTTATTTGTTCACTTGAGTAGAACAGTTGAGGTAATAAATTTACAAAAGCTTCCCTCTTAGTTGTTGTGGGTACATGGTATGTGGGAGCAGAGGGACCTGAGAGGAGCTTGCTTCAGTGGTCCAACTGAGAAGTGGCAGTTTAGATGAGGTTGGTGAGTTGTGGTTGGGATGCTTACGTTTTTAGGATGTTCAACTAAAAACGTGCTGATGGAGATGAAACTGGAAATGAGAAAACAAGAAGTCTTCCTGGTTTTTGGCCAGAGTGGCTGATGGAATGGTGGTTTCATTTCCTAAAATGGGAAGATTGAGGGTGTGTGGCCAAGGAGTCATGAGGGCTCACACTTTATGCATAGTAGATCCAGTTGAACATCCACATAGAGGTGCTGAATTGGCAGTTGGATAAGAATCTGAAGTTCAGGGGCAAAGTTTGGGCTGGTAAAAACGTGGGAGTCGTTGTCATAGACAAGGTATTCAAAGCCAGAGAACTAGATGAGCTCATTTGGCAAGAGTTTTGGAAGAGAGAGATGGTAGTGCCTTGAGGGCTCTCAAACAGTCTGTTAGCTGCAGAGGAACCAGGAAGGTAGGAGGAAAAAACACAGGAGCACACAGTCAGAAGCCAAGAGAGGAAAGGGGGAGTAACTAGTAGGGTTGCTACTGCTGGGAGAAACATAAACGTAAGTGACCATGAATTGGGTGGGGGATCAGGCAGTTTCAGTGGAGGAGTGAGATCCTTATGGGGGTGAGAAGATACGGGATCAGGGACATTTGTTTTAACAGAAAAAAAAAATGCCCACTCTGTAACTACATATGCAGATAGAGGAGCACATGAAGAAAAGTGGCATGGCTCTGAATTCTCAATGAATTGAGACGTGAGGTTGACAGTTGATGGGGAAAAGGTGATGGAGGTTTGGGGAGAGTGCAAAATGGGAGTAAATTTTACTGGGAGAGTAAAATAGGATTGAGGGGATATGCTAAGCATCCTGTGAGATTTATGGGTATATTATATAAAACCTCTCAGTATGAATGTGATTCTCCTGGGTTCGGTGACTTAGGTGTAGCTGAGTGCTAGTAGGAGCATTGCCAAGTGAATTTTTGGAGGGAAGGAGAGCAGAGGGGATGGACAGTGGAATCCTAAACTGGTAGGAAGAAGATGAGACCATGAAGCGGTGCAGTGAGGGACTGTGGAAATTGGGAAGATTATGGATTAGAAGTTCTAGCCTGACTGACTGCAGCTTGTTGAAGTTGGTGTTCTAAAGGGAGAAATTTGGAAAGATGGGACATGGCCAGAGTTGGTTGCTTGAAATCCAGATTTCCAAGGCTATCATCGTTGATGGCCTACTGAGGTGGAATATGGGAGGGTGATAGGAAAGAGTTGTATTGAGATGCAGTAGAAGGGGACCCTTCAAAGGGAATCTTCCATAGGTGTAAAATTATTCATTTCTGAAATTGTCCCTTTATTTTGGTGCTTGGAGAGTGAATCCAAGTTCTTGCATGTGCTCTACCACTGAACTACACCCCCTACCCATCTGAATTTATTTATTTATTTATTTATTTTTGGTACTGGGATTTGAACTCAGGGCCTACACCTTAAGCCACTCCACCAGCCCTTTTTGTGATGGTTTTTTTCGAGATAGGGTCTCTCAAACTATTTGCCTGGGGCTGGCTTTGAACCAAGATCCTCCTATCTCTGCCTCCTGAGTAGCTAGGATAATAGGCATGAACCATTGGTGCCCGGCCCCCTCTGAAATTATTTACATGCACTGTAGAAAGAAGACTGACTTACTTTTCTTAATTATTATTAAATTCTCTACATAGTCCTTTCCTTCTCACCCTTTACTTCCTTGGGTGATTCGCAGCATCTAAGCTTCTCTAAAGATGAAAATCACCAGGAGTCCCAGGCCCATCTTAGACCTACTGAATTTGATTTTCCAGGGGAGCTTTCCAAGCATGCTAGATGACTTATCAGGGAAGTTTGCAAACATTGACCTGGTGACTTACCTAATATATGACCATGGGAATGAGCCAGTGTGTCTGGTGAGGGAGGTGGGTGAGATGGTTAAAGGGAAGAGTACTGTATTGAGCTAGTGAGAGCTCATCATAGCTTTCTTTCCTGCCTGAGAACTTGGACAAATTGGAGACATTTAGGGTGTCAGAGGGCCAAATATGTCTTTTATTCCTAACATCATCAAAGCCAGAGGTATGAAAGTCAAATGTTCCTGCTAACTGAACCCCAAAATTCAACAGTTACCCACCAATTACAGGCAAAGTGGCCAAGAACTTCTGATTCCTAAAAGAAGGGAGAGCTGAAGTGAGTGTGCCAGTTTATTCCTTTCAAATTTACTGTTCAGACAAGCCATTCCACCTTCCCTGGGGCTGAGAGTGCCCAAGACTGTCAGTTGTACTGATGCATTCCCTCCATGAGGAAAGAATCAAGGAGTGGGGAAAAACCATTTTCATGTTGCCAAGGAGATTAAGCAACCACAATCAAGTTTCACGGTTTTAAATATTTGTGAGTGTTGAATCACCAAGTGACGAGTTGGAGAGAAAGATGAAAAGCCAGGATCTAAAATCCTTAGGGAATGAGGAGATTGGTAGGTGCCAGCAAAAAGAAAGGGTAGTGGGAGGAATATAGTCTGATAACCATTTTTCAAAGGGACACTTGACTTTATTGTAATTTTCATATACCTGTGTGTTATTCCACAAGATGGTAAGCTATAGTTAGGCAGGGACCATGTCTTTCTTTTTTAGACTGTCCTGGTTCCATACATACTTAATGAGTAAATGAGTAAGAGTACGCACTAACTGGTTGCCAAGCCCAAAGGTATTGGGGCCACATGTGGATAAGGTTCTTACACAGTTACTGGTTGGGAGGAGGAGGTGGCTCACAGGACTCTCACCCATTCTGTCCCTGCAGCGGACATTGGCTTGGCTGCCTGGGGACGCAAGGCCCTGGACATTGCTGAGAATGAGATGCCGGGCTTGATGCGCATGCGGGAGATGTACTCAGCTTCCAAGCCACTGAAAGGTGCCCGTATTGCTGGCTGTCTGCACATGACTGTGGAGACGGCTGTCCTCATTGAGACTCTCGTCGCCCTGGGTGCTGAGGTGAGGCCAATAACTGTGTGACCTTGGCAAGTCCCTTGCCCTTTCTGGGTTTAACTGGGGAGGAAGACTGCAGGGGTGGGAATGCTTCTGGCCAGCAGGGCCTTTACTCTCTGACACTTGGGTTTTCACTCTGTCTCCCAGTGCTGCTACTCTTTGAAGTGAATGTTCTTCTCTCTGTCTGGAAAGATAACTTCTGTCTGTACTCAATACATCCTCTTGACTAAGATCTCTAGTAGAAAACTCCATCCTGATGTCATTTAGTCATCTGAGAACTGGCTCTCACTGGTCCTCCTAGGATCATGTGCCTGGTTTCAACCAGTCATGGTTTTCAGAAGGATGGCGTGCTCCGGTTGCTCCTAAGTTTTGTGTATCAAGATCTCTTAATGAAACCGGGTGCTGGTGACTGATGTCTGTAATCCTAGCTACTCAGGAGGCAGAAATCAGGAGGATTGCAGTTTGAAGCTAGCCCGGGCAAATAGTTCACAAGACCCTATCTCAAAAAACCCTTTACAAAAATATAGGACTGGTGGAGTGGCTCAAGGTGAAGGTCCTGAGTTCAAGCCCCAATACTGGGGGGGAAAAAAAATCTCTTAATGAGGGGCAGGCAGTGCAGGGTAGGGAAGTCAAAACTGACATACTCCAGAGCTTGGTTTTTGTATCTCATCTTTATTTTCAATATTAGTTGGTTTCATAGCTTTAAATACTGTCTAAAGCTGCATGCTGGTAGCTCATTCCTGTAATCCTAGCTACTTGGGAGGCTGAGAGTGGAAGGATCACGGTTCGAGGCTAGCCCAGGCAAATAGTTCACAAGACCCCCATCTCAAAATAACTAGAGCAAAATGGACTGGTGGTATGGCTCAAGTAGTAGAGTGACTGCTTTGCAAGCATGAAGCCCTGAGTTCAAACCCCACCTTAAAAAAAAAAAGTACTGTTTATATGGTGATTCCCAAATACATACCCTAGCCTGGCCTGGACTTGTCCTGGGACTCCAGTCTTGTATATCCAGGTACGTATGTGTCCTATTCACATGAAGATCAAGTACAAGTGAGCACCGGTGGCTCACACCTGTAGTCCTAGCTACTTAGGAGGCAGAGATCAGGAAGACTGTGATTTGAAACCAGCCCGGGCAAATACTTTGTGACACCCTATCTTGAAAAACCTTTCACAAAAATAGGTCTGGTGAGTGGCTCAAGGTGAAGGTCCTGAGTTTAAGCCCCAGTACTGGGAAAAAAAAAAAAAAAAGATCAAGTGCATATATTGGGCTCAACATGTCCAAACAAACTTGTGATTTTCTGGCCCCCTCCTCTTCCTCAAGACTTTCCATATCAGTAAGTGTAACTTTAGACTTCCAGGTTCAGGTACCTGGAGAGTTTGATAGCTTCCATCCCCTCCATTGTTAGTGCTGTATTTCTTGTCTGCTCTTTCACATGCTAGGCAAGCACTCTACCACTGAGCTACATTCCCAGCCTGGAGTCTTCTTCAATAGCTCTTGTCTCTATGCTTCAGTCCTTCCCCTTCCATGGATTACCAGAGTAATCTGAGTGAGATCTTGTCACTTGTCTCCCATCCACTCACCCAGAGTGGGGGTGGTTGGATCTAGGTTTCCAACTTCTCACCCTTAGCTCCAGGGCTTTCCTCTCTTCCTGTTCATGACACTGGTCCTTCTGAGCCATTTAGTGACCAACAGCCTTGTTTTTGCTGGCTCTTCTAGGTGCGATGGTCCAGCTGCAACATTTTCTCCACACAGGACCATGCAGCAGCTGCCATTGCCAAGGCTGGCATTCCAGGTGAGTCCTTGCTGCTGGGGCAGGTGGGAATGCATTGATGGGCCATGCTTCTCCCTGTTGGCTTCACTGACTCCTATAGGAACAGGTTCCTTAAGGCAGGGAGAGGATTATAGCAAGTGTCCCATCATCATCTAAAATTCTATAGAAGGCCAGCGTTGGTGACTCACACCTGTAATGCTAGCTGCTGTGGAGGCAGAGATGAGGAGGATCGGGGTTTAAGGCCAGCCTGAGCGAATAGTTTGGGGGGACCCTATCTCAAAGATACCCAACATAAGGGCTGGTGGAGTAGCTCAATTGATGAGAGCACCTGCCTAGCAAGCATGAACCCCTGAGTTCAAACCCCAGTACCACTCCTCCCACCCCCAAAAAAAAAAACATATAGAAGATGCTTATTAACTCAAGTCACGTGACCAGGAAGGGCAGGATCTTGTGATAGGGAGCCACGTGATATAGAGGAGGGGAAGTTCCTTGAGGGAAGGATGTGGGTCTGTTTCCAAAGAACTGGCGAGGGAAAGGCAGAAAAGAGCCCCAGAGGTTCATTTTCTGGGATATGATAGTCTAAGGGGCTGGGGAAAGACAAACTGCTGGAGAAGGGCACATGTGTGTCTGGACTTGGGGAGGGGAGTTGCTAGATTTGATGGTGGTTAAATAGAACTTTCAAGATACCTTGTAATCAGTCACAAGTGGAAGGGGGATGTGTGGAAAGGGCTACTCCACAGACTCACCAGGGCTGAATGGGCATGTCCCTCACTCCTCAGCCTTGGCTGGGTTCTGTGGACCTCTTCTGGAAAAGGCCTTGTATTCAAGACCAAAAAGACCACTGTCTTCTCCAGTTGGGGGGGAGGGCACATGGCCCTGATTGGCCTGGGTCCTTTGCTCACAGAAGCCTCCTGGGAGCCTGACACCAGTATCTCAGTCATATCACATGATGGGACAGCATCAGCCCTCCAAGTAGCCCTTGGTTCTGGTGCCTACTCTGGAATGCCATGCTGAGTGATTCAGGCCCCTCTCTGGGTGTTTGTAAGTGGTGATGATGGGATGCCTGCCTTACAGGGTTTCTGTGAGGAAATGAGATGAACACAAAGGACTTACAGTAATATCTGGCACAGAGAAAGTGCTCTATACATAGTAGCTGCTATTAGTAATTTTTTGGCCAGACATTGTCTGAGACTACCCACTTTATAAGCTCTCAGGACCTCAGACCTTTCAGTGAAGAGCAAACTCTATAGATCCTGCATTGTGGGTCTCATTATGGTTTGGAGCTCTGGTCTATGTGGGTTCATGCCCCGGTCCTTGGAGCCCAGGCAGAAGGAGGTGTGAAAAAATAGTTACTTGGAGATACCTATATCTAGGGCTGTACTTGACCTCTATCTCTTTTAATCCATACTGTTGTAAACCCCATTCATAGAGGAAACTTGAGACTCAGAAAGTTAAAGTGATTTGCCAGGGTCACATCTGATAATAGCCAGAATTTTAGCTCAGATCTACTTGGCTCCAGGTTGAGTTCGTCTCACTGATGTGTTATCAGATGGGCTGGGCATTAGGAAGGAGAGAATATCGACTGCCCAGGTTGTTCTCTGGAGTGGGTGCTGGTGGGGAAGGCCAGGTCCTAATGTGCCACGCACCCTACAGTGTATGCCTGGAAGGGCGAGACGGATGAAGAGTACCTGTGGTGCATCGAGCAGACACTGTACTTCAAAGATGGGCCCCTCAACATGATTCTGGATGATGGTGGTGACCTTACCAACCTCATCCACACCAAGTACCCACAGCTTCTGTCAGGTGAATAGGGTGGGACAGGTGAGCTGGGTGCCTGGAAGGGGGCTGCTCGTGAAGCAGCAGGCATGGCAGAACTCTCAGATTTTGTGGAAGACAGGAGGATAGCAGGTTCCTGTAGGCATGCTGGGGCCTGACCTCCTGTCTTCTGATGTCATGGAGTTAGGGCAGCAGGGAGAGGCCTGGCTGAGTTGATAGCCCAAGGGCCAGCATGGGGCCAGGGCTGGGAGCAGGTGGGAAGGATCCAGCTTTGCTAAAAGCAGTGAGGGCAGAAGAGTAGTTGGGAAGTGGGGTATGGAGAGTGAAAAAAGCCCTGAGGTAGGAAAGGATTGACTATTTAGGAAACAGAAGGAAGGCCAGTATGGCTACAGTGAATGAAGGGAGCCTTCTCTTGGAATATTATTAAATATAGTTAGAGCTTCACTGAAGGCCAGTTGTGTCCTAAATGTGCCAAAAGAGGAGAGTTTTGCTTGATCCTGAGAGCAAAGGGAAGTAATTGGAGGGTTTGAATAGATTTCTCTGAAAATACACATGCTAAAATGGCTGCTGTATGGAGGAAGGCTTGTGGCAGGGGCTAGGGCAGTGGCAGTGAGGATGGAGAAGATGAGGATGTGGGTGAGTTCAGGTGTGGTCTTTGATGTTCTTCCCCTCTTGTTAAGGCATCCGAGGCATCTCTGAGGAGACCACGACTGGAGTCCACAACCTATATAAGATGATGGCCAATGGGATACTAAAGGTGCCTGCCATCAACGTCAATGACTCTGTCACCAAGGTGAGCTTTTGGGGCAATGACATCTCCAGGTGTGGGCCCCAGTACAGCTGAAGAGTAAGCCTCTGAAGAAGGGTGTCCAGGAAGGTGGTAGGCTAGCGATGTGCCAACCCTTGTCTGAAGTGAAAATAGCCCCAGACTGAGGGTAGTGAGTGCATTAAAGAAAGGAAGAACTACACAACAGGCGTCAGGGCTGGGGTTCAAGAGCACTATGGCTTTGATTGTCCAGAGCTTTAAAGTTAAGAAGATTCTTTGACTGACCAGTAATCTTTCCTACAAATGGATTCCTGGACCAGCACAGAAAGTGGAGAGAAATGGATGAGGATGCTCCTCATCCCCACATGCTGTGGGGGGATCAACCCAGCCTTGTCTGTCCCCATAGTCCTCTCACCCCCTCTCCTTTCAGAGCAAGTTTGACAACCTCTATGGCTGCCGGGAGTCCCTCATAGATGGCATCAAGCGAGCCACAGATGTGATGATTGCGGGCAAGGTAGCAGTGGTAGCAGGCTATGGTGATGTAGGCAAGGGCTGTGCCCAGGCCCTAAGGGGTTTTGGGGCCCGTGTCATCATCACCGAGATCGATCCCATCAACGCTCTACAGGCTGCCATGGAGGGTATGATGGGGTGAGGGTTGGCCGACAGCCACTGGGGGCAGAGGAGAGGCAGGACCATTCTAGATAACCCATGGTTGCTGTCTACACAGGCTATGAGGTGACCACCATGGATGAGGCCTGTAAGGAGGGCAACATCTTTGTCACCACCACAGGCTGTGTGGATATCATCCTTGGTCGGTAGGTGCCAGGTGGGGGTCCTGGGGGTAAGCTAGAGGCAGGCCTGGGACTGCTGTTTGTCTCTGATGGTGTTCCGTGAGTTTGGGCTCCCCCACAGGCACTTTGAACAGATGAAGGATGATGCCATTGTGTGTAACATTGGACACTTCGATGTGGAGATTGATGTGAAATGGCTCAATGAGAACGCTGTGGAGAAGGTGAACATCAAGCCCCAGGTGAGAAGCCCCAGCCCTGCCAGCAGGGTCAGCAGTGGAGGGCTGGAAGCTGTTGCAGCTTGGATAGTGGAGTGCAGGGAGCCTGGTTTCAGAGGTGGGCTTGAGGTGTCTTGACCCTGGGGGTGTCAAAGGCTCTGAAGGTGTTAGGCAAGTTAGCTGTGGATGTTAATGATGCTGTTTAAGAAAGCTTGCTTTTACTTTTATGTGGAGAATGGAAATAGTGGTTTGAGAAGTAGTGGGGCTCTGGGAAGGTCCTCTCATAGTCCTGCAGGGGCTGGAGAGTGCTGGGGCTGACCAGCTGTCCATGGGCTGGGATGGGGGAGGAATTGAAAAGGACTGTGGGTTTTTGGCTAGAACAGATGTGTGAAAAGTAGGCCAATTACTGAGCTGGGGAAAGGATGGGTTTGCAGCAGGGCATTGAGAAACAAGTTCCTTTGAGGAATATGAAACTTTATTTGGGTTATATTTATTATTGGTTTATTTATTTTGTTATTTGATTATAAAAGTAATATGTTTCTGGAAGATATTTTGGTTTTGTATATCAATAGTCTTCAAGTTAAGCAAATTCTTTTTTCTCGTAGGGCTGGGGATGGAACTCAGTGCCTTGCACATGCTAGGTATCCCCAGCATTCAAGTTTTCAGTTGGTGATTGAGAGCATGGGATTTGTCTTCAGACTGTCAAGACTGAAATTGCATCCACTTCTTAGTGTGTGCAGTTTCTTTATCTGTGAAATAGGGAAGATAGTAGTACTTAAATCAGAGGGTTTTTAGGATTACCTGTGATAATCCTATGTAAAGGTCTTAGTATAGGGTACATGGAAATAACAATACTAGTTGCTACTGAGTACCTAGTATGTACCAAGTCCTTCATACATATCAATTCATTAAAATCTCATGGCAGACCTGCAAGAGAATTAGCTATTAGTATTGTATGTGCTAGCCTTGTATGGAGGTTGTTCAGGCTCTTCTGGGCAGGTTGGGAGGCAATGGTAGCCTGGGCGGTGCTTCTGCAGCCCTCACTGTTGTGCTGGTGATTTGCAGGTGGACCGCTACCGCCTGAAGAATGGGTGCCGCATCATTCTGCTGGCTGAGGGCCGGCTGGTCAACCTGGGCTGTGCCATGGGCCACCCCAGTTTTGTGATGAGCAACTCCTTCACAAACCAGGTGCTAGCGCAGATTGAGCTGTGGACCCACCCGGACAAATACCCTGTTGGGGTTCACTTCCTGCCAAAGAAGGTGGGTTCTTGGCTTTCGCCTCAAGCTAAGGGTCATGAAGTGTCTGACTCTCCAACAGGGCTTGCTAGAGTTTATAAAGTGCTTGTCTGCTCTTTTAGAGGTCCTCACAGGTTGCTCTTCAGTGCAGAAATCGTTCTTTCTCTCCATTTGTCAAAAGAGGAAACTGAGGTCCCACTGGGTATCATACCCATAGTGGTAGGACTAGGTGAGAAAGAGCAAGGGTTTTAGAATGGGACATACCATATTTGGATCTTGGCCTCCCCCTTTGGAGGTTTTGTCACCCAGGCAAGGAACTTCTCTTTGCTTCTTCCATTTCCTCGTCTGTAAAATGAGGAGCCCTCACCCTCGATCCAGGGTTCCAAGCCCACATGCCTACAAGGATTGGGCAGGAAAATGAATGAGGCAGCCTGAGTGGGAACTGAGGAGCCGAAGAGCACAGGTAAGGGGGTGTTTGCCACTCAGTTGTCACTACCCCAGAACCCAGCTCCATAGGACTAGGGCTTCTGATTTCTGAAGAGAAACCACAGGTGTGGCCCAAGTGGTAGAGTGCCTGCCTAGCAAGTGGTAGGCCCTGAGTTTGAACCCTAGTACTGCTACCAAACCCCTATACAGCCAAAAAGAGAAAGAAAGAATGATGGATGTAGTCTGTAGGGTGCAGGTTCATCATCTTGGAATGAGGTGAGGCAGCACTAAGAATGCACCTGACCTGTGTCAAGGCAACCATGATGGCGAGGTCCTCTGAAATCGGCACTCTTCCGAACATCCCATGCAGTCCACCCATCCCCATGGATCAGAATTGCTGCTTTAGTCCTGCCTCAGTTTCCCTATGAGCTAACTAGTAAGAGTAGCTTTTTTTCTACCAGCTTTTGGCTGCTGAAAAAGCTGTGATGGGGTCTTCTTACTACCCCTCTACCCTTTGAAAGGCTGGTTCTGCCAAAGAGTTAAGGAGATGACTCAGACCCCAGCCTGTGTAGGGATTTGAATTCAAGGTCTTGCTAGGCTCTACCTCTTGAGCCAGACCTCCATTCATCTAACAGATATGTCCCAGTTGACCCACCTAAGGGTTGGGAATGTAGCTCAGTGGTAGAGTACTTCCCTTGCAAGTATGAGGCCCTGGGTTCTGTCCCCAACACTGCTTAATAACCTCAAACCAAGTCAACCCAACCATTTTATTTATTTACTTATTTAATTAATTTACTTATTTATTGCCATGCTGAGGATTGAATGAGGATTGAATTTAGGGCCTCACACATATGAGGCAAGCACTCTACCACTGCTACATCTCCAGCCCTCCCAACCTTTTTTTTTTTTTTTTTTTTTTTTTGCAGTACTGGAGTTTGAACTCAGGGACTACACCTTGAGCCACTCCGCCAGCCCTTTTTGTAATATGAGAACTACTCTCAGGTTGACCCTTCTCTAAGTGCAGGCTTGTGACCTTTATAGGTTCCTTTCATGCATTTAAGCTCTAGGCAGAAGTTTGCTTCTAACCCAGCCTCTTTTCTCCTTGATTTCTCTTATTCTCTTAAAAAATGCCATGGAGGCCATAGCTATGTTGCTTGAAACACATTTTGGGGCTTTGGAGCCACATGAACCTTGGTTTAAATCTTGGCTTTGTCATTCACTGCTTGTTATGACCATGGGCAAGTCATTCTACTTTTCTGAGTGTTGACTTCCCGATTTGTAAAAAAGGAGGATGGTAGTTTTTATTACTCAGGATTCTTTTGGTAACCAGTGATAGAAACTGGTTCAAATCCAGTTGTTAGACAGATGTGGTGTCTGCCTATAATCACAGCTACTCAGGAGGAGTCTAAGGTTAAAAATCACAAGTTCAAGGCCAGTCTGGGCAACATACTAAGTTTTTAGCCAGCCTGGGCTAGAGAGACTCCGTTTTAAAAAAAAAAAAAAAAAAGGCTCAGTGAAAAGCACTTGACTAACATGTATAGGCCCTGGGTTCCATTCCCAGCAACACTCACACACACACACATTTTCAAAGGAACAGTTTAGTCAAAAAAGATATTTATTCTAGGACTGGCTCAGTGGCTCACGTGGTAGAGGGCCTGCCTAGCAAGTGTGAGGCCCTGAGTTTAGTCTCCACCACTAAAATGAAAAAATGAATGCAAAAGAGCCCCAAGTTCAAAACCTAGTACCACCAAGAAAACAAAAACAAAAAATTTAAAAAAGGAACTCTGTTGGCTGTATAATGGGTAGGTACTGGATCATGGATTTTGTACCGTCGTAGCTGTTTTCTTTGGGTCTAGGGATGCTGGACTTGAGCTCGCAGTGCATAGGTGCTAGCACACATTTTACCACTGAGCCTCACCCTCAGTTCCATAGCTCTGCTTTTCTTTGTCTCTTGGCTTTTTTTGTTTCCCCCTCAACATTCATTTTATTTGTCAAATGGACTTGCCACTGAACTGAGACTAATCCTTCCCAGTGGAATCCCATTGGAATAAAAAGTATCCATGTCTATACCTGTCATGGAAAATATGTCCTGGACCATAGATAAATTCCATAGAGCGCTTTGGTTATATGCTTGAGTTGGTGGAGGATGAGGAAGGAGATGTAATTGATGGTTCTGCCAGGGGTACTTGGAGAGAAGGATGTGGCATAGTTACCTCATGATGGGGAGCTGGGCAACCAAAATAATACACCCACCGTGCTGGCTGTGAGGATAGAATGAGGTGTAATAGGGGTAACATGGCAGACACTCCCAAAGAGCAGTTTATGCCTCTATTGGTAACTGGATGCAGCTAACGGGTTCCAGAGCATGGCACTAATTCCAGGTTTTCCTGTTTCTTCCTAGCTGGATGAGGCAGTGGCTGAAGCTCACCTGGGCAAGTTGAATGTGAAACTGACCAAGCTGACTGAGAAGCAGGCCCAGTACCTGGGCATGCCCTGTGATGGCCCCTTCAAACCTGATCACTACCGCTACTGAGAGCCAGAACTGCCCTTCACCTTCCAGCTGCCACCCCTGTCCAGACCCCATGTCTCCTCCCCAAGAACAAATGGCACCAACTTTTCGATTGCCTTTTCAGTGTTCCCCATCGGCTCTCTGGGACTGGTCACATAGTCTTTGGCCTCTGCTGCATACTGTTCCAAATGTGGCAAGTGAAATTGAGAGGCATTTGTCAAGATGGAGGTATAAGGGAGACATCCACAGGGAACCATGAGCTCAGGGGTCTTGGAACTGCTTACTTAGTCAGTCCTTCCTTAGGCTGGAAGTTGGTAGTGCGGCTGCAAAGCCCATGGACTTTGTCTATCTTCCAGGCCCTCACCTGGCCTATGGACTTAGACCCATGTGCTTGGTTTACAGGTTCACTGGTTTCTCAGCCTATGACACATGAGAAGGAGCTATATCAAAGGGCAAAGAACTGTTGGAATTCCAGTGTTCCTAAGATCTTGGCTTACTTAGTGCTGGGCCTTCTCTTAAACCTTAGAACACTGAGGTGTTGGTACTTTTAGTCCCTATTTCACAGGGATTAGAATTGACTTTAAAGTGATAGCCAAGAAAGGACAAGAGAAGTGACAGCCAGAGGTTGAGAGGGGCCAGAAAAACAAAAGTGCCACCATGTTGCAACATGGTGGTTCCAGTTACAACCCTTGGTTGAAAGGAGATTAATTTGTTTTTTTCACATTTAAAATGTTGAATGCAGGAAAGTGGGTAAATAAAATTTTTGGTGCCTGAAAGAATTTTTGAACCTTTTATTATATACATAATCTACTGCCGACCATGTATGACAAGAGCAAGTGGTTATAGTCATGTATTGATGAAGCATTGAGAAGACAGGGGGTTGTCTGCAGTGTAGGATAATATGGGTTATGGACAACTCCTTAGGCTTAGGAGGATAGGTAAAGAGGGAACTCTTCAGGGACCTTTATCTTTTCAGATGTGTCTCATAAATAACTTTTTTTTTGGGAGTGGGGTTTGAACCTGCAAAGCAGGTGCTGTATGACTTGAGCCATACCTCCTCCTGTCCATTTTGCTCTGGTTATTTTTGGAGATGGGGTCTCATGAACTATTTGTCCAGGGTGGCCTCAAACCACAATCTTCTTGATCTCCAAGGAGCTAGTATTATAGGCATGAGCCACTGGTGCCCAGTTTAAATTGGTTTTAACCCAGTCTGAGAATATCATTTAATCAGTGAATTTAACCCATTTATAATTATTGTAATTTCTGTTTATTTCTTCTACCTTACTTTTTGTGTTTATATTTTTTTCACCCCATTTCCACTTTTCTTTGTATTGACCAGTATACCTTAAGGAGACTATTATTACTTATTAAGCACTTACTGGTTCCAGGGCTCTGTAGTTGATTACTTTATTCTTACAACAATCTTAGTAATATTATCTAGTTTTATAGATGAGAATGGAGACTCAATAGACGTGGCTTTCCTAAAATCACACAAAGAAGCTTCATGATTTGAATCACCAGAAGGAGAATGGGAAATTGGGCCCCCTCCTATTTGCCTGACTGATCATTTAATGATCCGTGTCTGGTCTTAGAAATAATAATAATAAAAAAAAAATCCACATGGGCAGGGTAACTGTAGACTTTTAAGGGCCATCCACTAAATGGAAAGCCTGATGGAGATATTGGGGTGTTTGAGATCTGACTCCAGCTGGCTGGGATCTGAAGCTAGACAGAAGGCAGGCCCATAAGCAGCTGAGCCATCTCCTGACCCTTCCTACTTTGTGCCCAGTAGTAGAGTTCAGTGCCCGGCAGTAGTAGAGAGGCATTAGGGGAAAGGTGGGGCTTCAGTGGATTTTGAAAGAACTTAAGATTTTTAACAAGAAATTGAAGGCAGAGCTGGGTGCTGGTGGCTCATGCCTGTAATCGTAGCTTCTCAGTAGGCAGAGATCAGGAGGAGTGCTATTGGAAGCCAGCCCTCGCCAAATAGTTCCCAAGACCCTATCCCAAAAATACCCAACACAAAATGGCTGGTGGAACGCTCAAGTGATAGAGCACCTGCCTAACAAGCTTGAGGCCCTGAGTTCAAACCCAAGTGCCACCAAAAACAATAGAAGGCAAAGGCATTCCGAGCAGCAGGACAGCTTGGAGTGTGAGTGACAGGATATAGGATGGGGAAGAGTTGCTTGACTATAGAGTAGTAGGGACTGCAAGAAGGCAACACAAATGGCCTGAAGGACAGAAAGGAGAGACCTTGAACACCAGGATGAGACCTTTGACTTGAGCTTCCACAGTTGTCATTTGTTTTTGTGTTCTCAGCCTCTGACTGTGAGGTGGTATTACTATAAGCTATTAATGGAGAGCGGCCAACTGGCCTGACTCACTAAGTGGTAACACCTAGACTCTGACCCAGCCACAAGGGCTGGTGGAGTGGCTCAAGTAGTAGAGCACCTGCCTAGCAAGACTGAGGTCCTGAATTCAAACCCCAGTACTGAAAGAAAAAAAAAAAAAATCAGGGCCACACTTTCACGTGAGGCAAATGAGGAATGTTAAGTGAAGCCTGCTCCACTTATAATATGAGGTTTTGACAGAAAGTAATGCCTGAGATTAGTTAGAGCTGTCTTTAGTATTCCTTCCATGTTGAAGAGTTCAGAACTGAATAAACAAGGTACCAGAGATTAATGGCTGCCCATTCCTTACCCATGGGTTTTCCCAATAAGTGCATAAACACATGCTTTGCCCTCTCTTATTTCTATCTGCTATTATGAGTAATCCACCTCTTCTATTTGAGTGCAAATGCATCTGAGTGACATAAGGGCTTGGGCTGCCTGAGTGGCTTAAGGGGTAGAGTTACTGCCAAGCAAGTGTGAGGCCCTAAGTTCAAACCCCAGTACCACCAAAAAAAGAAAAACAGGCCTTGTTTGCTGTGTTTTTGTGCCTTTTTTTTTTTTTTTTTTTGGTGGGACTTGGGTTTGAATTCGGGGCTTCAAGCTTGCAAAGCAGGTGTTCTACCACTTGAGCCACACCTATTTGCTGTGTTTTAAAAAGTGCTCTTACAGGGACTCACCTGAAGTTTTTTTTTTTTTTTTCCTTGATGGGACTGGGGACTAGGGTTTGAATTCAGTGCTTTGTGCTTATGAAGCAGATGTTCTACTGCTGGAGCCACGCATCCATTGATTTTGCTCTGGTTATTTTGGAGATGGGGTTCTTGTGAACTATTTGCCAGGCTGAACTTGGAAGTAACAAAGCTTCCCAAGTAGCTAGGATTACAGGTGTGAGCCTCTGGCATCTGGCTCACCTGAAGTTTTAAAGATACGATGTCAAGCAAAACCCTTGGGTCATACCATCAGAAGCATGAGGGCTGAGAACTGCTCATTCCAGCGTGGATGCTCTTCAGGGTGTTGGGTCCTTAAATAATTCTTACCTCCTCTGCCCCAACAGTGCACATAGCTGAAAGTTGCATGAGTTATATGCATATATGATATGACTGCTGCATATAATTTTCAAACTTTGGTAAATCAGGTGTTAGTACCAAACACCAGAGACCTGCTTCTCAATTGATCATGATGCCAAAACAGTCTGCGATCTACCATACACGCCTACTGCTATTTCTTGCCCACCTATGATTTTGTTCCAGGCATTGTGTTAAGTAACCATTTTTTAGATGTGATCTTTTTCCTCATAAAAAGTTTTGAGTAGAGACTTGAATTTCTTTGTTTATGGTCAGGAAACTGAAGCTCTGAGAGGAGCCATAAGAATGAGCTGGACTTTGTACTATGTTGAACTCAAACCAAAACCCAAGGCCTTTCCGTACCTACAGGTTCAGGTTTAGGAGGAAGGAAGCCTGGACTCAATAGGATCAATAACTGGAACTGTCACTCCAGTCCCTGAAGGCAATGCTGCCAGCAAAGAGGGCTGCTCAGCTCCACCTCAGTCTCAATGTGGCCTTTGAGATGATGAATTATAGAAAAGAGGGAGGCTGCTGTTCACCTTGCTTGTGACCTGGATCAGAAGTTACATTGCATAGCAGCTGTGTGACTCCCTTAGAAAGGTCCCTGCCTGTGTGTAAGCACCTCCCTTTCCACAAGTCTGCCTTTTCTCAGGCACAGGATGTACCTTTCTAGATGTTCCCTTCTATGAGAGCCCAGTCCTCCACCTCCGGTCCTCTAGAGGTTCTGGTTTCTGTTATCTTAACCTTTTCCTTTCCTTTTTTTTTTTCTTTCTCTTCTATTTTATGGATTTTACATTTACTTACATGTGTATACATTGTTTATCCCACCTGCCCCACTACCCCCTCCTTTTGTTTTTTTGAGATGTTCTGCCAGTTCTCAGAACCTTTTCCTAAAAAAAAAAAAAAGAAAAAAAATCCCCTCCCTTCACATCTGGTTTCAGATATACCTCTGATTTCAGGTCTGATAATCTGTCACATGTGTGATACTGACCAGGTACCTACAATGAAAGATGGATGTGTCTTCTACTTCCCCACCCTGTTCCTGATGTCTGGGCTCCCCATCAAAGTTTCATGGGAGAAGAAAGGTTTGGCTCATGGTCCTGTATTACCTGGCCTGGCCCTTGCTAGATCCTTTTTCAGGAAAGGGAGAAAAGAGGATGTGGACTGGGGGTTTGTGAAGCAGTGGTCTGGGATTTAGAAGGAGGAAATCTGGATCATTATTTTACTTGGAAGAGGGACAGAAATATCCACCTTAGATGGTTGTATTTATGCTCAATTGATATACTATGTGAACAGTTGTATGTTCAGTGTTTTTGTTTTTGGTACTGGAGATTGAATGTGGCCTTGTGCTTAAGTTGAATTTTAAGTACTGTGCTAGAAATGGGTGGGGGGAGGAGGGGCAGAGCAGCTGTTTTAGGGCAGGGAACTTAGAATACTTGTAAAATTAGAAAATATTTTAAAGAAAGCATAGGCTCTTAGAATTAGGAAGAACCTTAAAGTTAGAGCATCTATAAAGCAGAAACCAGCATTTGGATGGGGAGAAAGGTCTAGAGAGCTTAAACGACTTATGCAAAGTCACCCCACAGTTCTTAGAGACCTGTCTGCCTCCATGTCAGGAATCTCTGCACACCAAGCCCTGTGACCTCCATGTGGCTGGCTGCAATAGGAGGGCCCTTCTTGGCTAAAAGCATTGAGATGCCTTTTCAAGTTCTGGCTGGGACAGCTTAGAGGGCTTGGAGAGAGCATGGACTAAAACCCAGGAAAGGTCATGGGGACCCATTTATGCCAGTGAGAACTACACCAGGCAGCAGGCAGTGGTGAGCTCTACTTTGGAGGTCTGAGTTTCCAGGAAAGCCAGGGAATCCAGATTCTCATTCCTGAGACACTCAGGACTACCCCAGGGGACAGAGCTAAGAAACCTGCTTGAGGTGATGGATAGCAGAGATATTTGTGATCGAGGCCTGGTCTATCAGCTTTAACCAGTTTCTTATCAATCAACTCTCCAAATTGGTTCAAGGACAGGCACATGGCTCAAGTTGGTCCAGACCCAAATCCATGACTTTTGCTAGCAATCTGATGCGATGCAAGAGTGACCCCAGGAACTTACTCTGTGCCAGTGGAGCTACACTTCGAAGCTATGCTTGGACTCAAGTAGTTGTATTGTTGCTATTGTAGTCTACATAGCCATTGGGTACAGGAATTCTAGAGATGTGGAAGGTGTGAAAATCTTAAGATCTCAAGTCAGAAAAGCTTTTTGCTAGGCTCCCCTTGAAACAAGAAGGCACAAACAACATCATCATCACTGCCACCATTGAGGGGCCACCTCCCAGAGTACAATTCTCATATTCAGCAAGGAGAGCTGGTAATTAGCTATTATTCTCTGCAAGCTATCTGTAGAAGGGTTCTTTCGGGAGTGAACATAGCATCTGATAGTTTTTAAGGGTTTTACTATTAAAAGATATTTCCTCTCAACCACCGTGCCTCTAAACACACATACCTATTCCATTGGCCCATGGAAGAAGAAAGAGAGTAACAAGTCTACTCTAGATTAATCTGAAATTTAGTACAGATGGCTTGGCTAATTCAGCTCAAATCACATTCTTTTCTTCACTTGTCCAGTTTCCTTCACACATGGGAATTCATTGGCCCTTGGAGTTAAATTCCTTTATAAAGTTCATATTGTATGAGTGGAGGTAATTTCCCAATGGTGGATAGCGATGCTAGATTTGTGGTTGTTCAAACAGATGGAAGAATTTAAAATAAGGATCTAACAATTGCCATTTGGGTTGACTTAATCCAAAGAGTCTGAGGTCCTGAGGTCTTCTACCCTTCAGGGTAGTGTTGTGTTTTTTTTTTTTTTAAAGAATATTGTTTCTGCGAAATCATAAGTTTTAATTTCTACTTTTAAAGACATAGAAGCCTTTAAAAGATGTAATAAAGACATATGTTTTTAAATGTGGTATACACTGAAATTTAGCACATTGGAAAACACCTGGACCAGATTCTGAAATAAACCTCTTATTATTTCTGTTTAATAAAGATTGTTCCGAAGTCATAGGGTAAGCTGTTAAGAACCTTTTTACAACTTCTCTGTGTGATTTAAACCTTTTTCAGGACTGTGTAGCCAAAATAAAAGACTAGTTGAGACTGATATAGAAAGGCAACTGTTACTCTGTAATCCCTAATTTCAAATTTTTGTGTGTATCATAACATTATACTAATTTTAATAATAATTTAATATGATGAGGTTCCCCTTTAAGATTTCAGCTGGTGGCTGGGTATATAGATCAGTGGTAGTGTTTCCTAGCATGCTTGAGGTTCTGAGATCAATCTTCAGCACACACAGTGGGGGGAAGGATCTGAGAAAGGACATTTCCCTTTAAAATTAAAAAAGTTGAAACCATTGCTTGCTTCAGATTATGTCACAAAATTCTGGTGCTGAAAGCATCCTCATAGTAAGTACAGAGTCCAGCCCTCTCATAGTGACCAGCTGTGAATTTTGCATCCCACCAGTAATTGTGTCCTCAACTTTCTCCTAATTATCCCTCCTATATTACAAAGGGACTCTGTGGCACTGTCAAGATGAAACACCCTTCCCCAGGTACTATGTCAGGTCAATCAGACTTTGCTGGGAACTGGAATTCTGAGTGGTCCAGTGTAGACTGAAGAGGGTGAAGCTGACTTATCCTTGTGATCTTGTGCTGAACACATTATTCATTGATTTCTGTCACTTGGCTCCTCTCTTACTCCTCATGGTACTGTCCTTTCCTTTCAGAGGCCTGTTGTGTAGCCTTTCCTTTGAGGTTTCCTAATCTTGTCTAGTAGACTAACACTTTTCCCCACTTTTATCCTCCCTTAGGCTAGCCAAAATACTCTTGAGTGACTTATTCCTCACTTTTTAGCCCAGGCTGGCCTCGAACTCGTGATCCTCCTGCCTCATCCTCTTCGCCTCGTTGATTACCGGCGTGCGCCACCACGACCGGCTATTCCTCACTTTTTAAATGGGGAAATCATATCAAAAGTGAATTGTTCAAGGCCACATTATAAGATCTTTGGGCACAAATTTAAGACTATGCTCTACAGAAAGAAGTGATCATATATTAATAGCCACAAAGGTAGAGCAAATCTTTTTTTTTAGGTGGGGGGTGTTTAAACTCACTCTACCACTTACATAACACCTCCAGTCTATTTAGCTCTGATTATTTTGGAAATGGGGTCCCGAGAATTACTTGCCCCAGCTGGCCTCAAACCTCTCTATCACAACCTCCCAAGTAGCCTGGCTTAGGAGTGCAAATCTTTCCATGACAGGGTTGGCCCTGTGTTTTAAAGAGAGCTGGAGGAAACTGCAAAGCCTTAGATTTGATCCCTGGTACTGCAAAAAGAAAAAAGAAAGGGGGTGGTGGTGGGGTTGGGGGGAGGGAGAACATGAATAATGATGATGGAGATGAGGTGAGGTACCAAGATCCTTATAACAGTGGAACCATAACTCCAAGCCACAAATGTAACTTCAATTCTGGTCATCAAACTGGGTAGAGTTTTATAGAGGCCTAGAACTTTGCTGTCAAGACTGAAGGCTTGAGGAGGAATTCTGCTTGCTTTTTTTTTTTTTTTTTTCATTTTTCTTTTATTATTCATATGTGCGTACAAGGCTTGGTTCATTTGAGGAGGAATTCTGAAAAGGTGAAGGAGTCTTGGGATCTCAAGCTAAAGGGGAACTTGGGCAGGTAAATACCTAACCAGGGATGTGAGTCAACAGAAGCAAGCACTGAGTTTGAGGGAAGAGATTACATATGCTAACGAGGGTTCTAGATTCTAGCAAGGGCCATTGGTCATGGACCGCTGAACTGTAAACTTTGTTGAGACAGCATCCATGTTGTATTTTTTTTTTTTTTATAGCACCTGGCACATAGAAGGTTCTCAATACACATTTGCTGAATGAGTGAGTGGATGGATGCTCATCCATCCCAGCAGCTAAGTAGCTTTGTTAGTAATGGACTAAGTCTTTAGCTTTGCATCCCAGCCTCAACCCTGGGAGCCAAATGGTGCCTGGTTGGTGAACATTGTCTGGAAAACACAGCAGCAGTTGCTGCGATATGTTCCCAATATTCTCATTATTGATGACATTTGCTCAGCAGCAGCTGTGGTACAAGGAACAAAAGGTTCTTGCCCTGTGGGCTTGCAGCCTAAATGACAGAACACAAAACAAACAACTGGCAGCTTTTCTGCGTGGGGGTGTGTGGTGGTGTGCTAAAGCATAGAGAACCAACACTATCTCTGATTTATAACAAGAACAGTAGGAATGGTTATTTCCTATTTTACAGACAAGTAAATGGAAACCCAGTGTGCAGGACTGTGTGGACAGCCTAGTCTGGAGCACCCCTCTTTTCGTCTTGTGCTCTGTGTGCTTGCCACTCCTTTCAATCCAGGGGCTACCTGAATAGAGGTGTTTGCCTCATCATTTCCATACTAGCTAAGTATGTCACTAGTTGGATCTCTAGTTGAGAAAAGGTCCTTGGCAAGAAGGGAGTTTTAAGGAATTTGAAAGAGGAACAATGGCAAGTGGACAAGAGGGTCAGAGGCGGTGGCCTTGCCTATTCTGTACCCTAAGCCCCACTGTTCTCCCTCCCAAAGGCAGAGATACATGCTGGTCACCAGGGCTGAGGTAAGGGCTCCACATTTTCCTATTTTATAGTCTTTCTCTAGAATTTTAGGGACAGAGCACCCTCTCCTTTCATTATCTTCTGCTATGAACACTGTAGTAATTTCTTGGGGAACAGCTCAGACTGCGCACACGCGCGTGTGTGTGTGTTCTAAGTTTTTCTCCCTACCTACAGGGGTGCCCCCAGTCAAGAACAAGTAGGTGATGTTATATGGAGCCCTTTCTCTAATAGTGCCAGGTTTCCGTGTGACCCCTCACCCTGACTGGCCCTTCTCTGCAGAACCTGCTTCCACCTCTGACTCCTTTTCCCAAAAGCAGTATCTCAGGTGCTGACCCCCCACCCCAGGGTTCTTCCAAATATACAATGCTGCACCTGTTTCTCAGACCAAGTCTGTGGAATTTCAAGGAACGTTTTTGGCAACAGGTCCCTGATATTTCAGCACAATGATTGCTACCTACTCTGCAATTCGGGCCCTCTGCTTTCATACCCTTTGACAGAGCTGGGGTGAGGAATGAGGAAGGGTCTCTGAATTCTTGCTTCTTACCTGGGGGCCCAAACTCTAGGCTATGAGTGGAAAATGCCTGGAGATCAATGCCCAGGGTGGGAAAAACTCCTCCCAGGTCCCAACACCTCTGTAAATCCCTGGGGGGAGAGGGAGGAGTGGGCTGGAGTGACAGCTTTGTTTGGGAGCCTCTTAAGGCCCTAGGACCATCGGTCCAGAGATGCCTTTCTGGCTGTAGAAACCCACAGCAAACGTCCAGTTACAATCAGCCGTCCATCTTTATCCGCAACTCCCGGGGAACCGACAGCTCAATGAGATTTGAACATGGAGTTCCAACATCTCTTGTTTTTTTGTGGGGATGGGGTGGGGTGAGGGGGCCACCAAAAGGCGAAAGACTGGAGGCGGTTCCTTAATGACTCCTTTAGGCCGGCCGGGTCGGCATTCCTCAGTTTTGGAGGCAGACTAGTGTTCTCAGGTTTAAAGGCAGGGTGTGGCATCGTCCCCAGCCGCCAGATCCGGAGAAGCGGATACCAGAGCGCAGTTGTAGGGGGTTGAGGGGCTTAACTGGGTTTCCCCAGCCTCAGGAGAGTAGCGCGTGCACAGTACGTGGGACTTCGCGGTGAAGGGGCTCGACCTAAGGGCTGCGAGCTTTCGGGTCCCTTAAAGAAACAGTCACACACTTTGGAGCGACCTACACATTCTGTATTCTGATTTTAGCCCAAGCCAGGTTTCCTCGAAGCCCCGCCTCCTGAAAGCTCCTCCCCTACCCCAGTAGCCACGCCCACGCCCGAAAGCCGCACCCACAAGAGAACCCCCGCCCCAGCAGCGCCCCCCTGCCCGGAAGTCCCGCCCCACGACCTCTTCCGGCCCCGCCCGTGGTGGGAAGGCAAGCTCAGCAGTTGGGGTTGAGCGCGCGGCAGGAGCAGGTGCTGCCGAAGAAGCGACAGTGGCAGGATGCGCAGGGGTCGCAGCAGGCTGGCGCCGGTGGCTTGCAGCTGTCGCGGGTGGCCACGCAGGGCGCGGGAAGCAGGGCCCGGGGCCGAGCCACCTTCTTCATCGAATCCTTTTTCTGCGGAGGGAAACGCCCGAGCTGCTCAAGCCTGCCACGCCCGCCCCACCCGTTCTTATCTCTGCCTGCACATTGCTCAGGCCATGGAGGCCCCGCAGTGGACACCGCAGCCGGTCCCCGCTCGCACCCCCACTAAGCCCTCCGCTTCTGCCTCCACCTCCCTACAGACTTTTCTCTTCCTAGGAAATCCCACTCGGCCCCACAGTTTAAAATGACCATCTTGCGGCTGTCATTTGTGTTTTCTTAGTAGATTCGTAGTTCCTCCTATTTCACCTCCACCGCTTTACCTGGGCCAGGCCACCATCTATCTTTCTTTCCCCTCGGTCGTCCTGGCCCCTTACAGTCCACCTCCAGTGACAGGGGACCTCGAAGAAGACCTATGATCGCTGCCTCTGCTTACAGCCTCCTTCAGATTTCTCTTTGCACTTGGAATGCAACAAACTTTCTTTTTTGCACTTGAGGCCCCTTGTGGCTTGTCCCCTACCCACCTCTCCTGCGGTAGGACCTTTGAGCTTGTTACTCCCTAGCCTAGGGACAGTCTTTACTGGCTTACCAATGCTAGTGGTCACAGCCACATGTGGCTACTCAGTACTGAAATAAGTCTAGTGCAACTGAGAAGCTAAAATTTAAATTTAAAACTGAAGAAGTGTAAAATATTTTTCCCATTAAACACAAGTTTATTAAGACCACATTTCACTTTGTTAAAGATTTAGCACTGGAATTGAGATGTGTGTGCTGTGTTAGCTATAACCAGATTGCAAAGACCTAGCATAAAAAAGGATAAAATATTTTAATAACTTTTAAAATTGGTTGCATGTTGAAATGTTAATATTTTAAATATATTGGGTTAAATAAAATATTAAAGACAGTTGCAACTGTTACGCTTTTTTAAAAGTGTGGCTATTAGAAAATTTATATATATATATGGCTAATGTGTTTCTATTAGACATTGCTACTCTAGATTACTGAGGTTTTATTTGAATGCCACCTACTTAGAGAGACCTTCCCTGACTATTCTTCCCTCATTTTCTTTTTTTGCCATGCTTTAATTTAAGTCTTTATCTTTTGAATTTTAAACCTGTTATATTTTTTGGCAGTACTGGACTTTGAACTCAGGGACCTTGTGCTTGCTAGGCAGGTATGCTACCATTTTAGCCACACCCCCCCCCCCCCAGACCTTTTGCTTTATTTTTCATATAGGGGCTCATGTTTTTGCCTGGGTGGGCCTGGATCACAATCTTCCTATTTATGCATCCCACATAGCTAGGATGCCAGGTGTGTACCACCACACCTGGCTTATTGGTTGATATGGATTCTTTTTTAAAATTTTTTATTATTCATTTATTCATATGTACATACATTGTTTGGGTCATTTCTCCTCCCTGACCCCTCCCCCACCTTTTCCCCCCCTGAGATGGATTCTTGCTAACTTTTTGCCTGATCTGGCTTTGAACAATGATCCTTCTGATTCGTATCTCTGGAGTAGCTGGTATTACAGCCATGAGGCACAGCACCTGGCTTAACCTATTTATTCATTTACTTGCTGCTCACCTGTTTTCCCTACAAACTCCATGAGAGCAAAAATACCTGTTAGTCATTGCTGTATTTCCAGTGTGCAGCATGTAAATGTATTTGTCCATTATATATTATCTATCAATCATCTGGTCTCCTTTACTTTACAGCCAGCAACATGCCTAGAGAGGACTTTCTCAAGATCACACAGTGGGCTGATGGAGTGGGTCAAGTGGTAAAGCGCTTGCCTAGCAAATGTGAGGCCCTCAGTTCAAACCCGTACCACACACACAAAAGAAAATCATGATGCCAGGTCCTATCTCTCATATACCTAGTCACCTGAGTAAACTGAGGCATAGTAAAACAGAAATAATGTGTGCATTTCAACAATGCCTCAATCCAGCATTTCTCACAATGTAGCAACCTATATTACAGTGGTTTGATTTTAGGTGATACATGAACATTAAATGGCCCTGAGTCACTGAGTGAGAAAGGATTCCTTGCTCCCTCCCTCCCTCCCTCTCTTCCTTCCCTTTTTCTTTTTGAGTTTTGAACTCAGCCTCACACTGCTAGGCAGGCACTCTACCACTTGAGCCACCCCCCTCCTTTTTTTTTCATGATTCTTTTTTTCCTATCTCAGCTTGAAGACTGAGTTTGGTGTTAACGTGCCCTTAATGCTTCTCCAGCACTTTCCATCTGTCTTTTAACACAGAGAACAGGCCTCAGAGTCACAGTTCAGCAGGCAATGACATCCAGTTAAACTTCATTAACAATGTTTTATTATCACTTATTTTTACAGTTGCCATCTATACAGCAAGTGATACTGGTTTTCTATCATAGTTCTATTTTTTTTCTAAGTTTTGATTTTAAATAAATAGGTGAAACTCAAGATACGGCAAAAGTTGTGGAAGCAGTTCTGAAATGTCAGGTTTGGGAATCTGTGATGGTGTAATTTCAGGCAGGAGGCTTGACTTGTATTAGAAGCTGCTTTTTAACTCATAAGCTATTTTGCTTAGTGAACTTTTAGCTCCTTGTGGGGCTTCTGTGGGGCTTCAGCTTAGGCTGTAGACCAAGAAGGCTTTAGGGCTTTTTCAGCTGTTTTGGTTAATGTAGTAGGGCTGGAAAAATCTTTCACTTAGTTTTCAGTCACAGCTTTCTGCTCTTCCTTTTAAGCCCAACCCCACCTGCTCAATGAGCATTCTCAGGTTTACCTTGGAAGATCTCTTCCTGTTTTCTGCTTCTTTTCTGCTGATCTTTCTGGATTTCTTATTCAGTGCTTCAAAGACAGACAGAAAGAACAAAGCCAGATGTTTCTGGGTGGGAGCTGCAATAAAGTGGGAGGAGCAAAGGGGGGCTCCAGGAGGTCTTAGGGTGGATAGCAGGAGGTGTTGGATGAATCACATCATGGGACAGAAGCCACCAGGTTCTTGTTAGCCTGTTTGCTGACCTGGAGCCAGGAGCTGAGAGCAATGTCCTCCGAGGAAAGCAAAGAGGAAATCTAACGGGCCCTGTGATCTGACTGTAACATCCATTAGAGGCCCAAGCCCTTGACCTTACCGCTGAGCCACTCAGTCACTTCAGGTACTAGTTTGGTTTTTTTTTTTTTCCAATACTGGGATTTGAACTCAGGGCCTACACCTTGAACCAATCCACCAGCCCTTTTTTTTTTTTTTTTTTGAGATAAGGTCGTGAGAATATTTACCCAGACTGGCTTTGAACCACAATCCTCCTCATCTCTACCTCCTGAGTAGCTAGGATTACAGGCATGAGCCACCAGCACCCAACAACTCCAGGTACCAGTTCTTTAGTCTTTAACCTGACAAGTATAAAAACGTTGTGATACCATGAAAATGAACTCAGTGTCTTGTACCTGGATGCACCTATGTTACCTGTTTTCCAAGTAAGACTTGGAGCCAGGTAGACCAATCCTGACTTTGCCATATAATAGCTGTCTGGCTTTCTGTAAACTATTTAACTTCCTGATACTCAGTTTTCTCATCTGCAAAAAGGGTTCTGTAATGCCTGTCTTGTAGCAATAAATGAGTTATGTTTATAAAGTGAAAAATCTGGCTTATCAATGGTGATCAGTGAATATTGGTCTTCCCTCCCTTCCCTGCCCTTACTGCCCTTACTATATCTAGAGTATCCTTTTTTCTTAGTGACTGGCAAAACAATATGAGACTACTAGTTTTGACCTTGAATGCTGAATTTACCTGTATTTGAATTCTGGCTCTGCCAGTTAAGAACTGTATGATCTAATGCTAGTTACTTAACTTTTGTAAGCCTCAATTTCTTCAACTGTGAAATATGAATAAAAACAGAGTTCACCTACAATGCCTACACACAGCATATCTATTATTTATTATTATTTTGTTTATGGAGATTGCTCATGCTAAGCCCACGTTCATTATTATTATCAGGTGAAGTCAAACTAGGAGATCTCTAATGCCCCTCATAGTCTTCCCTGGCATGGCAAGACTTGCTTATTCCCAGACTTGGTTATATTCTGCAGCATTTCCTAAAATTTGTTATTGCTGACAGGAGTTCTGCAATTCGTTAAGTTTCAGAAATGCTAAGTTAAATCAAGTTCACCAAGTGTCTTGACTTCAGGCTCTCTCAGAGTCTCTAATGTGCTAAGCTGCAGATTAGATTGATGGCATGCTGGGTTTTCTCAAATCGAATGAATTAAGGAACACTTTATTCCCCCAGGACTATTTCACAGAATGAGCAAGAAGGAGCCAGGACTGTGGCAGTGGAGCCTGGTAGCAGCCTGGGGAACAGGCTTGACACCCTATAGCTCCATCAAATGGGCCAGAGCCCCGAGGCTGGGCCTGAGGTGAGGCTACTTACCCACAATAGAGACAGAAGGTAAATCCAGTAGGTTCACAGGAGAGTTGTTCCTCAGGCTCTTGTCATCTCTGGGATTCTCCTCGGGTGCCAGGTGGCTATAGGCAGTGAGGAAGCAGAGGAAGGCCAGTAGGGTGGCCAGAAGCAGGCGAGTGCTATCCATCCTGAGAGGCCTGAGTGGGACAGAGAAGGTGTTCTGCTGCAGTGGGTGGGTCAGGGATAGGGGCAAGAGGATGTGCCTTCCTGCTTTCTATGTGATCCTTTGGGCTGGTGCTATGACACAAGTGTCCCAGGACAGCCAGAGGACTAGCAAGGCTTAGGACAGGGAAGGGGAATTGCTGAGGGAAGAAGAGAGAAAAGGAGATGGAAAGAGAAAGAGAGAAAGACAAGGAAGGGAGGGAATTTGAAGCAAAGAGAAAAGGCATGCATTACTCTGGTCTCTGTGTCCGGAGGTTAGAGTACTGATGATTTCTGTCTATGTATATTTTTAAAGTCAGTGGTCCCCGGAGACCCTGCCTGGGCAGAGCTATTGAAAGGCCCCACAGTAGTGCCTCACAGTGACAGGGGTTTTACTAAGGTGCCAAGAATGAGGCTAGTGAGACTCAGCAGAACCAATGCAGTGAGAGCAATAAATGGATCTTCAGACAAGTGTGTATGTTATCCCATACACCAGATTCCCACACCCGGAGGGAATGAGTGCAGATAGGGTTTGTGTCAGGCATTTGGAGCTGCTGACACAAGCTAACTGGTTTTATTTATTTGCTATCTGACAGATCTCAGGGTGGGTTTCCTCTCAAATGCCTGGGCTTTCTCTGATTATGGGATCCCCACCCTTCCCTATTTTCTCTCTGATCTTGGAAAAGACAGGGACTACTTTTCCAATGTTTCCTCCACCCTAGTCATGAGCACTGTGGGAGAGAAAAGAATAAAACATTTTGCTCATACTGGTCCTGCCTGCTCCTGGATTCCTCTTACAGCAGCCTGGCTGATTTCTAGCCTGAGGCCCTAGGGTTTCCAGCTTTGTGCACTATGATGTCTGGGGTTTCTTGTCCCTATCAATAAGAGTTAGTCCAAACAAAACTATCAGAAAAGTCTGAAGCATGTATTTTTTCTCCATTCTCTGTTTTTCAGAGCTTATCTTGTCCTCTGTCAAAGCCTTTATCACATTGTTTATGTGTTTGTCTTTTCTAATCAATAAAAAGAAGAGGTCATGTTTTACTCATTTTTATGGCCCTGATTGGCACAGTGACCAGCCCAGAGCAGTAACTCAACAAGTACTGACTGGGGGTGGGGGCAGGGGGGAGAAATGACCCAAGCATTGTATGCACATATAAAAAATAAAAAAATAAAAATGAAAAAAACAAAAAACAAGCAAACAAAAAAAGCAAGTACTGACTGAATAAATGTTCATGTACTAAGTAAAGCTCCTTTTCTTCTCAGCTAAGTGGTTTTCTGAAAAACAAACAAACAAATATGTGTCTCCCTGCCATCAGCTATGATCTTCCCCCTTTCAAAAGGGATCCTGGTCTTAGATACACATTTTGGATGACAGTGACTTAACCCCTGGCTCCAGGGTTTAGATTTCTCTGTGACAAATAGCACAATCCCACCCCATCCTCCCCATTTGTGGTTCAGACATGGCCTCTGACTAAAGATGGTCTAATCAAAGGAAACTTAGGCCTTTTGATGGTTTCGGGAAACTCTTTCATTGAGTACCTAACATAAAGTCAGCAGTTGTGATTTGAGCTGGTGGTCATTTTGAAACTGGAGCCAACTTTAGGATGAAGCTGACATAGTGGAAGACAGAGTGAAGATAGTAAAAACAGCATTGGCAACACAATGAAGCCACTGGATTGGCACTTGCTCGAAGACCATCCTATATCTGAACTTGTCAATTAGACAAGTCAATAAATTTTCATTTATTGTTTTTAACTTGTATGTGTTGAACTTGCTTCACTTTCAACCCGAGGCATTCTCTAGGACACTGCAGTAAAGTTGCATCTTTCATGTGGTTTAGGTTGAAAGCTAAACTTTAAGGAAAAAATTAAAGACTACAGATTTTCTCTAGCATGCAAATGATGGCTGGTCTTTCCCTTCTCCTCCTCCCCCACCTCTCTTTCTCTCCTTCATTCTACTTTTACTTCCTACACCCTTTTCCTCCACTCGTCATTTCCAGTGATCTTTGTCCAATGACCAGTAAAAACTCTTGGTCTCCATCTTTGACTCTTTTTTCCTGATGTTTATGTACTTTTTTATTTTATGCTTCAAATAATCTCAGATTTTCCATTTCCTCTTCATCATAGTCCCTTCCTTGGCCTCGGTGGAACAAGTTTCACAGTGACTCCATCTCCTTGTTTTTCAATGGTTTCACCAACATCACCCATTCTCTCAATTGCTCCTGGTCATATCTCACCCTTCCCCCAGAGTCCAGATCAAATGCTGGCTCCAGTATTTATTCTCTTTGAGCACCAGTGTAGCCCAAATACTGCTCTCCATTTTCTGAACTCTGCCAGCTCTTAAAGTCAATGCCATATTGTTCAATACTTCATTGTTCTTTAATTGTTCATGTGGGTTATTCTCAACAGTTAGACACAGTTCTTTGTATAAAAGAGGTAGGACAGTGCAGCTGAAAGAATGCAGGCTCTGTGGTTAGTCATATGTGACTTTGCTATTTAAAAGTTGTGTGAAGATATAGGGGGGAGCAGTCCCCTCTATTCCCTTAGTTCTTATGTGGGCTGTTTGGCTCAATCTAGGGATTCAATTAATACAAGAACTGATTAAAAAGAGAAAAGCATCATAATTTTATTAAATTTACATGTACATGGGGATCTAAGAGAGTGAAGTTCAGAGAAATGCCCAAAGGATGATGCTTTTATATTCCTTAGACAAAGAACAGTAAATCTGTGAAGTAATATTAGGACACATGGCTATCTGGATTAGGAAGTAAATTCTAGGAATTTTACTAAGAGATATTTGGGAGGGAGTGTGTGGAAGCTAGAAGAAGATAAGGATTATGTCATAGTGTGAATTCAGGTTTATAGCAGCCCCAATTACCAGTCTCTGGTGATCAAGGCTATATTCTGGCCTTGGTATGTGAAGGATATTCCTCCCAAAAGAATCTTCATGGCTTAGTGCATGTAGGAAAAGACAGACCAAATGGCCTTTTTTTTTTTTTTTTTGTAGTACTGGAGTTTGAACTCAAGGTTTACAACTTGAGCCACTTCACCAGCCCTTTTTTTGTGATGGGTTTTTTTTTTGAGATAGGGTCTCATGAGCTATGTGCCTGGGCTGGCTTCAAAACACAAACCTCCTGAACTCTGCCTCCTGAGGAGCTAGGATTGCAGGTGTGAGCTCCAAGTGGCCTTTGTGAAGTTACAATTCCTCACGTGATTTCAGCTAGAAATAGTCAATATGCCAGTTTGCCTATTTTAATATGACATGTGCTGAGGAATGCCTGACTAAGTGTAACGTCCTGAGTTCAAACCCCAGTATTGCCTCCCCACCAAAAGACATATTCTCTCTTAACCACTCTGAGCCTCAGTTTCTTCATCCTTGAACAGGGATATCATAATATCCACTAAAGAGTATTCTGGGAATTAAAACAGAACCAGTACTCAGTGAAGTACCTGGTATAAATTTTAGTTATCTATATTAATTATACTGTTCATGTGTTTACAGAAGGTATATTTTGGCATTTTAGGTTTTCTTTTAAACTCATAATTTTTTTTTCAGTTCTGGGCTTTGAACTGAGCGTCTTGTACTTGCTAGACAGGCACTCTACCACTTGAGCCATGCACCTAGCCTTTCTTCTTTCTTTCTTCTTTCTCTCTCTCTCTCTCCCCCCCATGTCCTTCTTTCTTTCCTCTTCTTCTTCTTTTTTTAGATAGGGTTGCATGCTCTTGTGTGGGCCAGTCTCAGAATGAGATCCTCCTACCTCTGCCTCTTGAGTAGCTGGGATTGCAGGCATGCACCACCATGCCTGATCATGCACCATGCATGATCCTATGAGTTATGAATTAAGTTTCAATTTAATCCTGGACTGTCCCTCCAACTTTAAGAAGTTTAGACTTAGGATGGGGTCAGCTGTTTAGATCTCTTCCTTCTCAAATGTATAGACATAGGGAACACTGTTTCAACCAATCTGAGCGTTGGTAAAAGCAGGATAGAAACTGACCAGACTGTAGTAAGGGGACCCATTTAGTATACTGTGGCCTTGGAAATTTTATGTAATTTCTCTGAGTTTCAGTTTCTCCATCTACAAAGGGAGTAGGAATCTCAGTGTATGCCCCAGAGAATTATTGAACACATGGGAAATAACCTTTTGATAAAGCATCAAGCACCATGTTTAGTACATAGAATCACTCAGTTAAGTGTTTGCTCAGGCTGAATCTCTCTCGATTTGAGTTTCTTCTGCCTGCCTAATCCTGTCAAAGAATGAGCTGTACACTTCTTCTCACTGTGGTGACTCCATTTCCTCTTGTCTTCTGCTCCTGTAGCTCAGTATGCTAAGCACTCACTGTGAGCCAGCACTATGCTACATTCTTGGGTTATAATTGTAATCTAGACAGACATGATGTCTGTCAGGGAAAGCTCACAAATAAGTAATTGTGATAAAGCTGGTACTACGGGAGACATAAACTAGTGTGGGGGCTAAGGAAGTCAAGAACAGGCTGAGTTGGAATTAGCCATGTTGGAGAAGATGGCAGTATTGCAGACATGGGAATGATACACATGGAGATCCTAATGCAAAGACAGAATGGTGCATTTGAAAAATTGCAAAAAGTTCAGAAAGGATAGCAAACAGACATGAGGGGAGACAGAGGCAGGGTCAGGCCATGATGGGACTTGTAAACCATAGTGAGGAGTTTAGATAATGTTAAGTCAATGGAAAATGACTGAAGAGTTTTAATAGGGACAGGACTTAATTAGATCTGCATTGTAGAATGATCCCTCTGGCTGCTTGTGGAGATGAAGGGAGCAAGGCTGGGAGGAAGGAAAACAAGAGGCTGCTGCTGGATTCCCATCATTCCAAATGAAACACAAACCCCTGTTTGTAACTTGCCCTCGCCTAGTTTTCTTTATCTTTCCTGCATTCATTTACATGTACATTCATACAATCGCTAGAACTCCTGGACTGATAGGTGTGGGGAAGTCTATATTCAA